GGTCAGGGTCTGTGTTTGGGTCAGGGTTTGGGGTCAGGGTCAGGGTTTGGGTTTGGGGTCAGGGGGGGGGTCAGGGTCTGTGTTTGGGTCAGGGTCAGGGTCAGGGTTTGGGTCAGGGTCAGGGTCTGTGTTTGGGTCAGGGTCAGGGTCAGGGCTGGGGTCAGGGTCTGTGTTTGGGTCAGGGTTTGGGTTTGGGGTCAGGGTTTGGGGTCAGGGCTGGGGTCAGGTTTGGGGTCAGGGTCAGGGTCTGTGTTTGGGTCAGGGCTGGGGTCAGGGCTGGGGTCAGGGTTGGGGTCAGGGCTGGGGTCAGGGTTGGGGTCAGGGTCAGGGTTTGGGTCAGGGTCAGGGTCTGTGTTTGGGTCAGGGTTTGGGGTCAGGGCTGGGGTCAGGGTTTGGGGTCTGGGTCTGTGTTTGGGTCAGGGTTTGGGGTCAGGGTTTGGGTCAGGGTTGGGGTCAAGGTTCGGGTCGGGGTTGGGGTCAGGGTTTGGGTTTGGGGTCAGGGTCTGTGTTTGGGTCAGGGTTTGGGGTCAGGGTTTGGGGTCAGGGTTGGGGTCAGGGTTTGGGGTCAGGGTCAGGGTCTGTGTTTGGGTCAGGGTTGGGGTCAGGGCTGGGGTCAGGGTTTGGGGTCAGGGTCAGGGTCTGNGGGTCAGGGTTTGGGGTCAGGGTCAGGGTCTGTGTTTGGGTCAGGGTTGGGGTCAGGGCTGGGGTCAGGGTTTGGGGTCAGGGTCAGGGTCTGTGTCGGGTGAGGCTCAGCCCCGCCGGCTCACTCACCCGATGATCCGCCGCTCCGAGTACTCCTTGCGCCGGTTGCCGAGGCTCAGGAAGCCGCGGCTCGGCTGCGCCCGGGGCTCCCAGCCCGCGGGGCCCGGCCGGAGCCCGCACGGGGCCACGTGCCTGCGGGGACACCGGGAGCACCGGAGTCACCGACCGGCACCGGGGGCACCGGGAGCACCGGCGGCACCGGAGTCACCGACCGGCACCGGGAGCACCGGGAGCACCGGAGTCACCAGAGTCACCGACCGGCACCGGGAGCACCGGGAGCACCGGGAGCACCGGAGTCACCGACCGGCACCGGGAGCACCGGGAGCACCGGCGGCACCGGAGTCACCGACTGGCACCGGGAGCACCGGGAGCACCGGGAGCACTGGAGTCACCAGAGTCACCAACCAGCACCGGGAGCACCGGCAGCACCAGAGTCACCGGGAGCACCAGCGGCACCGGGAGCACCGACTGTCACCGGCAGCACTGGGAGCACCGGGAGCGCTGTGCCCTGGGACCCTTCCTGGTGGACAAGAGGGCTTCTAGGGCTTCCCAAATTCCTTCCAGGGCTTCCCAAATTCCTTCCAGGGCTTCCCAAATTCCTTCCAGGGCTTCCCAAATCCCTCCAGAACCTCACAAGTGCCTTCGAGCTTCCCAAATCCCTCCAGAGCTTCTCAGGTCCTTTCCAGAACCTCAAAGGTCCCTCTGGAGCTTCCCAAATCACTTCCAGAACTTCCCAAATCCCTCTGGAGCTCCCCAAATCACTTCCAGAGCCTCACAAGTCCCTTCAGACCATCCCAGGTCCCCTTCCAACCACTCCCAGTCCCTTCTTGGCCACTCCGGGTTCCTTCAGACCATCCCAGGTCCCTTCCTGACCATCCCTGTCCCTTAATGGTCACTCCAGGTCCCTTCCAGAACTTCCAGGTCCCTTTCAGACCATCTCAGGTCCCTTTCCAACCACTCCCAGTCACTTCTTGGCCACTCCAGGTTCTTCAGACCATCCCAAATCACCTCCAGAACTTCCCTTCATTTCCCTTCCAGACCTTCCCAAACCCTTCCAACCCATCCAGCTCCTTGCAGACCTTCCCAAATCACTTCCAGAACTTCCAAAATCCGTTCCAGAGTCTAACAGGCCCCTCAGAGCTTCCCAAATCCCTTCCAGAACTTCCCAAATACCTTCAGACCATCCCAGGTCCCTTTCCAACCACCCCCAGTTCCTTTTTGGCCACTCCGGGTTCCTTGAGAACATCCCAGGTCCTTCAAAATCATCCCAGGTCCTTTCAGACCTTCCCAAATCCCTCCAGAACTTCCCAAATCCCTCCAGAACTTCCAGGTCCCTTCCAGAACTTCCCAAATCACCTCCAGACCATCCCCGGTCCCTCCCGGTCCCTCCCCGCCGGGGGCTCCGGGCCGGTGCCGAGCCGCGGGGACGCTCCCGGGCCTGACGCCGGGAGGAGGAGGAGGAGGAAGGCCGGGACCTCCGAGCCGGGCACACCGAACCCCGGCGGGGCCCGGTGCCGCCGTGCCCCGGTGCCGTCCCGCCTCCGGTGCCGCTCCGGGGCGGCGATCGCGACTTTCCCACGGGAATCGTCCCGCCGGTGCCACCGGGGCCGCCGGTCCCGCTCGTGTCCCCGTGTTCCCTGCCGCGGGTGGCCTCGGGGCCGTCCCCTCCCCGGTGCCACCGGGGTGACCCCGCCGGGGCTCGGTTCCCCCGCGGGCGGCGGCACCGGCGGCACCGCCGCGCTCCCGGTGTCGCCGCGCGGGTTCGCGCCAAGGTCAGAGCCCCCCAGCCAGCGTTCCCCACCCCGCGGCCAACCGGGCCAGCGGCACCGGCGGGCCGCCGCCGCCCCGGGATCACCGGGAGCCCCGGGATCGCCGGGATGGCCCCGCCGGGACCCCCCCGTTCCCACAGGGTGCCCCGGGACCACCGCACCTCACGGGGGCCGGGAGCGCGGCCAGGCCCGGAGGAACCCCCGCAGCACGAGCGCCTCCCGGTGCCCGCCCCGGTGTCCCCGGTGTGACCTCCGCGCCGCCGCCGCTCACCTGCCGGGCGGGGCCGCCGCGGCCCGCAGGCGCTGCCGCGCCCCGAGCTGGAGGGCGCCGCGGAACCGCCGGGCCGCCATCAGCGGGCCGGGACCGGGACCGGGACCGGGGCCGGGCCGGAACCGGGACCGGCGCCGCCCTGACCTCTCACCCCGTGACGTCACCGCGTCGCCATGGCGCCGGGCACGTCACGGGGCGGGCACCGCCCCCGAGCGGGGCATCATGGGAGTTGTAGGCTGAGAGTGCGCGGGGCACGATGGGAAATGTAGTGCGGGCTGGGGATGCGGCTGCTGCGGGACCGAGAGCAACCGGGAGCAACCGGGAGCGACCGGGAGCAACCGGGACTGCCCCGCCCGGGGCTGCCGGGGCTGGGCTCTGCCCCAGGGGCCGCGCCTCCCACGTGTGCTCCCGGTCCGTGGGTCCGGAGAGGGACGGGGAGCCTCCGGTGCCGTGCCCCGGTAAGGGCCCCGCTCCGAACCGGGCAGAGGAGCCGAGAGAGCGGGGATCCACCGTGGCTGCGGGAACTGTGCGGCCCAGCGCCGCCCACTACAGCGCAACACACAACAGGGCCTCCCAGTGTCTCCCAGTGCAGCTCAGCACATCCCAGTTCAGCCCAGCACATCCCAGTTCCTCCCAGAACATCCCAGTTCAGCCCAGCACATCCCAGTTCCTCCTGGAACATCCCAGTTCCTCCCAGCACATCCCAGTTCAGCTCAGCACGATCCAGTTCCTCCCCCCAGCACATCCCAGTTCCTCCCAGCACGTCCCAGTTCAGCCCAGCACGATCCAGTTCCTCCTCCCAGCACATCCCAGTTCAGCCCAGCACATCCCAGTTCCTCCCGGAACATCCCAGTTCAGCCCAGCACATCCCAGTTCAGCCCAGCACGATCCAGTTCCTCCTCCCAGCACATCCCAGTTCAGCCCAGCACATCCCAGTTCCTCCCAGCACATCCCAGTTCCTCCCAGTTCAGCGCAGGGATGCAGCACCAGTTCCCAGCCCCGTTCCCGGTGCCGGCCCGGCCCCTCTTGGAGCCCCGGGACCCCCCGGGACCACCGGGGGACGGGGTTCCCACCGGACAGACCCCACAGAGGGATGGAAGTGCCACACCGGGACCCCCGGGACCTTCTCCCACCGCCCCAGCACTCTTCAGGCTGGGGCACCCGGGACCCCCGGGGTTACCGACAGCCGCTCCGGGATGCGATTCCCCCCGGGAACACCCGGTGTCACGGCACCGACCCCCGGGGTACCGACAGCCGCTCCGGGATGCGATTCCCCCCGGGAACACCCGGTGTCAGAGCGGCGACCCCCGGGGTTACCGACAGCCCCTCCGGGGTGCGATTCCCACCGGGAACACCCGGTGTCAGAGCAGGGACCCCCGGGGTTACCGACAGCCCCTNATTCCCACCGGGAACACCCGGTGTCAGAGCAGGGACCCCCGGGGTTACCGACAGCCCCTCCGGGGTGCGATTCCCACCGGGAACACCCGGTGTCACGGCACCGACCCCCGGGGTACCGACAGCCGCTCCGGGATGTGATCCCCACCGGGAACACCCGGTGTCAGAGCAGCGACCCCCGGGGTTACCGACAGCCCCTCCGGGGTGCGATTCCCCCCGGGAACACCCGGTGTCAGAGCAGTGACCCCCGGGGTTACCGACAGCCCCTCCGGGATGCGATCCCCACCGGGAACACCCGGTGTCACGGCACCGACCCCCGGGGTACCGACAGCCGCTCCGGGGTGCGATTCCCCCCGGGAACACCCGGTGTCAGGGCACCGACCCCCGGGGTACCGACAGCCCCTCCGGGGTGCGATTCCCCCCGGGAAC